ATGGCGTTCTCGCACGATTCGGGACCGTCAAAAGACGCAATCCCACCAGCCCTCTGGGCGCAGGTGATCTAACGATGTCTTCCTTTCCTCTTCCAAAAACCCTCTTCCCCTTTGGGGAGAGGTTTCTCATTGTTCCTATTAATAAACACCCCCTCCCCCAGGCGACTGGTAGCCAACCAGGAACCATGAGGGCCCCCACCACCATCCCTTGTAAGAAACCATACGCAACACACTCTGCCTCCAAATTCGGAGAATGCGCAGACAACCCGATGCGGCCTCCCCCCACCATCCCTGACAAAAAACAACACAGGGTACACCTTGGCGGCGGCGGCGGCTGAGGCGGCTGCGGCGGCGGAGGACGCTGCGGCGGCTGCGGCGACGGCGGCACCGGTGGCGGCGGCGGCGGGGGCGGCGGCGGCGGCGGCTGCGGCGGCGGCGGTGGCGGCGGCGGTGGCGGTGGCGGCAGCGGCTGCGGCGGCAGCGGCTGCGGCGGCGGCAATTTGGCAGGGCGGCGGCGGCGGCGGCGCGGCGGCGGCGGCGGCGGAGGACGCTGCGGAGGCTGCGGCGACGGCGGCACCAGCGGCGGCGGCGGCGGCGGGCGGCTGCGGCGGCGGCGGCGGCGGCGGAGGCGACGGCGGCGGAGGCGACGGCGGCGGCGGATTGGCCCCCAGTAGCTGCCCATATCCAAAGACGACTGCTGAATATGATGAGGCTCGGGCCGGACTCGGGTGCTACGTATGTGTTGGGAGGGCGGGTGGGAGTGAGCGAGACGGCTTGCGGGCGGGGGGGGGTTCTTGATCACTGCTCCCTATTAATAAACACCCCCTCCCCCAGGCGACTGGGGGCCAACCAGGGTCCATGACGACACCCCCCCACCATCCCTTGCAACAAAACAATACAAACACACACTCTGCCTCCAAATTCGGAACATGCGCAGCCAACCCGATGCGGCCCCCCCCCCCACCATCCCTTTCCAAAAACCATACAGAATACACTTGGCGGCGGCTGCGGCGGCTGCGGCGGCTGCGGCGGCGGTGGCGGCGGCTGCGGCGGCTGCGGCGGCGGCGGCGGTTTGGCAGCGGGGGGCGGCGGAGGCGCGGCGGCGGCGGCGGCGGCGGCGGGCGGCGGCGGCGGCGGCGGCGGCGCGGCGGGCGGCGGCGGCGGCGGCGGCGGCGGCGGCGGCGCGGCGGCGGCGGGCAGCGGGCGGGCGGCGGCGGCGGCGGGCGGCGGCGGCGGCGGCGGCGGCGGCGGAGGCGGAGGCGGCGGCGGCGGCGGCGGATTGGCCCCCAGTAGCTGCCCATCCAAAGACGACTGCTGAATATGCTGAGGCTCGGGCCAGACTCGGGTGCTACGTATGTGTTGGGAGGGCGGGTGGGAGTGAGCGAGACGGCTTGCGGGCGGGGAGGGTGTCTTGACCCCTCCCCCTCCCCCCTGCCCTGGACCTGGACGAGATGGGCCGCGATCGGTTGGAGCGCCCCAGATGGCCTCAAGATGGCTCCAAGAGGGCCTCAGAGAGCCCACGATGGCCTCCAAGATCATCAAGATAGCCCAACATGGCTCAAGATAGCTAACAACATGCCTCCAAGAGGCCCCAATGTGACCACAAGACGGTTCCAGGTGTTCTCGGAAACCACTCAGGACCCCTCCAAGAGCCAAAAATCTCCTCCTCCTCCTCCTCCTCCTCCTCCTCCTCCTCCTCCTCCTCCTCCTCCTCCTCATCATCATCATCATCATCATCATCATCATCATCATCATCATCATCATCATCATCATCATCATCCTCCCTCTCTCCTCGCTCTCTCCTCGCTCTCTCCGAACCTCTCCCCTCTCCTCCCTGGAGCGGCGCGGCAGCCGCCCAAGCCGAGCCGGCTCCTGCAGCTCCCCGCGCAGGCGCGCGCTGGCTGGCGAGCCCGTGGACGAGGCGGAGGCGGACTCCGGCTCCTGGGCGGCCCAATCCCTCGGGCGGCCCTTGGCAGCCCTCTGTGAATCTCTCGACGCGGAGGAGGGAGAAGGAAGGAGGAGGGGGAAAGGAGGAAGGACGGAGAAAGGAGGCCCCAAGAAAGAACTGCATATCAGAAAAAAATCGGCGGCGAGACAAATATACATAATCACTCACTGACATGAGCGGACAAACGGCGGCGGGGCGATCCAATCCGAACATATCAGTCTGGACTCCCATGAAAAAACTCGCGGCGGGAAAATTCTAAATCAGTGAAAATTTAAAATGGTGGGCAACATATTTCAAAATCTGTTTAAAAAATATCATGATATATAATCACTGCTGGCACTCTTTCCTGGGTCGCCCTCGTCATTGTCATCGTCGTCCTCGTCCTAGTCGTCCTTGTCGTCCTGGTCGTCGTCGTCGTAGTCATCGTCCTCGTCATCGTCGTCCTCGTCCTCGGTCTCGTCGTCGTCGTCGTCGCCGTCATCGTCATCGTTGTCGTCGTCATCGTTGTCGTCGTCGTTGTCGTCGTCGAGCTCGTTCGTCGTCGTCGTCGTCCTCTTTCGTCCTCGGTCGCCCTCGCCGTCTATTATTTGTCTTCGTCTTCGTCTTCATCCGCGTCGTCGTCATCGTCTTCGTCTTCGCCTTCGACTGCGTCTTCGTTGTCCTCGTCCTCGTCGTCATCGGATTCGTCTTCATCTTCGTCGTCGACGTTCGACGTCGTCGTCCTCGTCGTCGTCATTGTGGTCGCCATGACCGTTGCCGCGTTCGTCGTCGTCGTCGTGATCGTCGTCATCGTCGTCGTCGTCGCCCCCGCCGTCGTCGCCCTCGTCATCGTCGTCCTCATTCCTTGTCGTCGTCGTCGCTGTCGCCGTCGCCGTCGCCGTCGCCGTCGCCGTCGCCGTCGCCGTCCTTATCGTCGTCGTCGTCGTCGTCGTCGCCGTCGCTGTCGTCATCCTGGTCGTCGTCGTCGTCGCCCTCATCGTCGTCGTCGCCCTCGTCGTCGTCGTCGTCGTCCTCGTTCGACGTCGTCGTCCTCCTTCGTCGTAGTCGTCCTCTTTCGTCCTCTTTCGTCCTCGTCGTCCTCCACGTAAATGTCTTCGTTTTCGTCTTCGTCTGCGTCGTCGCCCTGGTCGTCGTCGTCGTCGCCGTCGCCGTCGAGGTCGAGGTCGCCGTCGCCGTCACAGTCGCCGTCGTCACCCTCGTCGTCGCCGCCCTCGCCGACGTGGTCGTCCTCGTGTGTCGTCGTCGTCGTCGTCGTCGTCGTCCTGGTCGTCGTCGTCGCCGTCGTCGTCGTCGCCTTCGTCGTCGTCGTCGTCGTTCGCCGTCGTCGTCGTCGTCGTCCTGGTCGTCATCGTCGTCGTCGTCATCGTCGTCATCGTCGTCGTCGTCGTCGCCCTCGTGGTCGCCGTCGTCGTCGTCGTCGTCGACTTCGTTCGGCGTCGTCGTTCTCCTCCTCCAGTCGTCCTCGTTCGTGGCCCTCGTCGTCGTCGTCGTTCGTCCTCAGTCGTCGTCGTCCTTTTCGTCTTCGTCTTTGTCTGCGTCTTCGCCGGCGTCGTCGTCGACGACGAAGGAGGGAGGGGAGAGGGATAAAGGGGGGGGAGGAGGGACGAGATGAGAGTGGAGGAGAGGAGAGGACAGGGGAGGGGAGTGGAGGGGAGGGGGGGGGAGGGGGGGGGAGGGGAGGAGGAGGGAGGGGGAGGACGAGAGGAGAGGGAGGGATGAAGGGGGAGGGAAGGAGGAAGGGGGAGCGAGAAGGAGGGAAGGAGTGAAGGAGTAGGAGGAGGGAGGAGGAGGTCGGCTCCAGGCGCAGGCGGCCCAGCTCGGCACTGAGTTCCTCGCGGCCCCGCTCGGCTTCGGCGGCGCGGCGCTGGGCTTGCTGGAGGTCGGCCCTCGGGCTGGCCGGCACACCCCGGCACCGCCACCCACTCCTCCACCCCTAGCACGCAGCCTCCTCCCTCTCGCTCCCCTCCCCCTTTCCTCCCTTTTCCTCCTCGTTCCCCCCTCCGCCCTCCTCCCTTTCCCCCTGCTCCTTCCTCCCTCCTTCCTCCTCCGCCCCCCCCCCCTCCCGCCTCCTTATCACAACTCCTGATATTCCTCGCCCTCTTTCCTCACTCTCTCCCTCTCCCTCTCCCTCGCCCAAATTCTCTAGATCGCAACATGTAAACATGCATATGCATGCAAACATGTACCCATGCACACATGCACATATATATATATATATATATATATATATATATACATACATACACGCCTATACGACCATCCTGCGGGCGATAAGGAGGTTGGGGGGGAGGGGCCCAGCGATGGGCAACGGTGATGATTGTTATTCTGACGATGCCAATGGAGATTGTTGCGTTGCCGCTCGCTCACGGGAGCTTTGGTGTCGAGTCGTTTGCGTCACCCTTCGCTATTGGGCGCCCTGGTACCATCTCCTTCCCCCGGGTACCTGCCCAACGGCGGCGAACGACGACGACGGCTTTTATGTTTGGGGCCTCCTGCGGCCCCGATCGTCGCCACGGCTTAAATCGCCTCGAAAATTGCTCAACGGCGGACCCTCGGCGGTCGAGAACGACGCACCACCATCGAAACTATTTTGCCCTTGCTCTTTCGAGCTCGCGCTGACATCCGAGGGCACCGCTAGCCGAAACAGGGCAATGGACTGGAAAGCCGGCGAAAGCGCGCCTCAACTGGTCAGGGAGTACGGAAGCGCTGGCAAAGCCTGGCGCAGTCCGTACCCCCTGCACTCACTTCTTGGTCGGCAAAGTGGCTTGGCTCTCCTCCGCGTTGCGCCGTCTGCCGGGCAGCGTCCGTGCGCGCCGCGCGCAGCGAGACGAGGCGGAGCCGCGACACACTGGCAAATCTGGCGCGCGCGTCCGGCGCCATCACGATTCCCGCGACAGATAAACACAATGCAAATCATTGTCGCCCATGTGAACAGCGACGGTCGCGTTTTCTGGCCCATAAGAGGGGATCGCCCACTGCACCAGTGCTGCCGGCGGAGTGACAGGGATGACAATGATGCGGACGCCGAACTCCAATGCGGCTGACATCACAACCAACTCGTCCGCGTATTCTTTAGTTGCCAGCTTCTGTACCCAGCGAGTGCACAGCGCCTCGGTGCGCACGGGGCCCCGGACATCCAGGCCAGCAAAGGCCGGGTATATTATGTTCTTCATGTCGGCTCTGAACAGCACGGCGGCTTCGCCACCGCAGAACCGGGTCCGCAGAGCTTCCGCCACCACGCCCAAATGCGAGTGACGCACGCCAGCGTTGACACACCGCTGCGCATCCTGTGCTGTCAGTTGGCCCGCCGCTCGATGGGCTGGCGTGTTTGTTGCCTGGCAAGGCCTGGGCCAAAACGTCCGGCCCGCGCTCGGCCAGGCCAACTGCAAGGCATAGCCAGAAGCACGCACCCGTGGTTCGGCCCGCATACTGCCCCAGGTCCCAGACATGCGCGTCGAACTGCAATTCATTGCGCGCGCGCTGCGAGTACTGCGTCGGGACTTCGCTACCCCCCAACACTTCGCAGTCCAGAGCCCGGACCGTCTTGGCAGAATGGCGGCGGCACCGTTCGAGTGTGTCGTATTTTGTGTGTGCGCTGCGCGTCCAGGCCGTTGAGCAGGAGCACCAACGTTTGCTGGAACTGGAACGACGTCTGCTCCAACGCACGGGTGATGTCAAACTCGTTGAAGTTGAAGCCCATGTCGATCATGGTCGCCGCCGCAGAGGCCTCAGCCGCGGCCTCCGCCTCCGAAGCCGCGGGTCCCGGAGTACCCGCCTGTGTCGACGAGGTCTTGCCGCCGGAGCCGCTCTTCCCGCGGGCTGGCAAAGCCTGGCCCGGGCTCTTCTTCTTCGGTTTCTGTGCGCGGAACGAGGCCACGATGCTCCACAGGCCAGTGGCCTTGCGGCCCGATTGCTCCTCGCAGTACCGGGAGCCGCTGTCGCTGATAGGCGCCACGCCCACCGCGGACAGCATCGCCCACAGATCTGCCAGCTCAGCGCCATTGGGTTCGCGCCCTTCCTTTGCGAGCGTGGTGGTCCGTAAGTGTTGCTCGCGCTCAGCCAGCAGCGCTTCAGGAGACGTGCCTCTCCGCTCGAGCAGTCTGACAAACGTGGCGTCTGCCTTGCTCTCGAACTCTGCCCTGGCGAAGAACTCCTTCGTCAGGCGCGCGGACAGAAAGTCTGTCAAGGGTGGGAGCTTGTGAAAGGCCATAGATCCCCAGCTCGTGACACGGGTCCATACCACGAAGGCCATCCCGAGCTTGCCCACCGGGTTGGGCCCGCGACATCCATCAAAGGACACGGTACAGCCCTCGTGCGCCGTGATGCCCTGCGATTTGTGGATGGTTAGCGCCCATGCCAGGCGCAAGGGTACGCCAGCGCGAATCAACGACTGCAAGGTCTTGTGCCGCACCTCCGCGCAGGGGACCCGTACCCAGGTCCTTGGGAGATTGTCGAAGCAAGCGGGGCCCTTGCACGCGGGGAAATGCACGACCACGAAGTCAGGAACTGGGCAAGCGGGCGCCCCCCGGAGAAACGCTCCGAGGGTGGAGCTGGGATGGCCGACCCCTGCGAGGATACTCTGGTCAGTTCGCTGCCCCCCTGGGGAGGCGCACACGATGGCGACCACCACTCGGTCGATGTCACTCGATCGATCTCATTCGATCAATCTCACAATCGGTATCACTGGCGATATCACGATCGATCTCACAATAGATCTCAAAATCGATATCACGATCGATCTCATTATCGATCTCACAATCGATCTCACGATCGATCCCACTATCGATCTCACTATCGATCTCACGATTGATTTCACTATCGATCTCACGACGGGACACCGACGGGACACCGCAGGACACCAACGGGACACCGACGGGACACCGACGGGACAGCGGCGGGACACCGCGCGGCCCCGAACGCCGGGTCGCCAACCATTTGGCCCGGCCGCTCCTCAGCCACAGGAGACTTTCCTCTCGCCAGCCCACGCAGCTGCGCCTCGCCCGCACGCACGGCACGCACGAACACGAAACCGAAATCGATTTCCCGGTAGGGGGGCTCTCCGTTCCACTTCGATCTCACCCCCTACCTCCGACATACAGATTGACATACATACACACAGGCATACATACATATGAGAACATATATCTGCATACGTACATGAACAGTCATACATCTATACATGCATGCATACATACATGCATACTGATACGCATGCATACATAAACACAATGTGCACATACCTGAAATCATACACACATACATACATACATGCATGCATGCATACATAAATACATATATACATACATACCTGCATGCATACCTACATGTAAGCATACATACATAGATAGATGCATGGCATACATGCACGCATGCATGCAGCATACATGCATACATATGTAAAGACATACACATACAATCGCATTCACATGCACATTCACAATCACATTCACATCCACATACATACACACATGCATACATACATACATACATACATACATGGGAACATGCATACATACCTGCGTACGAACATGATTGCGTACATACACACATACAACCGTACAGGCATGCAGATACCTACGTACTTACGTAGTACGCACGTACGTATACACATGTATACAAACATGATGGCAGACATGTATACACCTATAAACATACATATATGCATACATACGCGTACGCATGCATGCATACGTATATACCTGCACACATAGATACAAGCATGCATGCATGCATACATAAATACATACCAATATGCATGAATGCATACATACATGCATGCATGCATTCATGCATACATGCATACATACATACCTATGGGTGAGTGTGTTTAAAACTGCAGATTGCTAAACGCACTTCTCCGAGGGAGTGGAGCTCTGAGGTGATTAGTTGAAGATCCCGTTTGTGATGTGTTGGACAGCTTCGTTCGGTACATCCTCAAACGTATGGAAATCGGTCGCACACCGCACGCAGGTCGTGCCGTCGCGGTCCCCAAAAAATCCTGCACGTTCAACGCGTAACAATGAAATTTCAAAATACGCACACACACAGCAACTAAATGATGTTGGACGTCGCTCGTAAACAAAACAGCTGTTTCGCGCGAGACACACCCAACATTGAAACCCGACGTATTCAAAGGTGCCTTCATATTCGTCAGAATCACAGGTTCGCTCGAGAAATCCTCCAAACATTGGCGCCAGAGCTTCTGTCTGAATGTAACTGCAAGAGGTGAGATACCCTCCTGCGCCACACACATCGCAAGGCGTGGCATCCCATCCTGCGTTCGACTGCGATCCCGCTCGTGCATCTCCTGCAACTTGTATATATATATATATGTAGAGATACATATGTGTATAAGTATATATGTCTATATATATGTATGTGCACTCAAATAAAAACACACATGGTAACACCAATACTGGCGATAACGCTACATCTAAGGTTATCCCGTCTGTCACCACCTCTGCTGTTCCTCCTCCTCATCTTCATCCTCATGGTCATCACAATCACCATCATCATCAGCATCAGCATCAGCATCAGCATCATCAGCATCACCAGCATCATCATCAGCAGCATCAACAGTATCATCACCATCAGCATGGCCGTCAGCATCATCATCAACAGCATCAGCATTATCAGCATCATCATCACGATCATCATCGAAAGCATCATGCTGATGATCATTATCTTCATTTTCATCATCAGCATCATCATCAGCACCATCACCGCGTCAACCATCATCATTACTATCAGCATCATCATCATCATCGTCTGCATCAGCATCATCCCATCATCAGCATCATCGGCAGCATCATCATCATCATCATCATCATCATCATCATCATCATCATCACTATCAGCATCATCATCATCAGCAGCAAGACAACCA